GCCCCCCCCAACCATAATCATTGGCCCCTTGCCCACTGTGTGTATCGGTACATGTGTGTACACATGTATGTGTGTGGGTGTTTGAAAAATAATAAAGGGAATCCAGGACAGATAATCCCTTCAGGACCAGTGGCAAGAGTGGTGATACCGGGAGGGTGGAGCGAAGGTGGGGTAGAAAGGGGGAACCGATTACAAGGATCTACATATAATGTCCTCCCTGGGGGATAGACAACAGAAAAGTGGGTGAAAGGAGACATTGGATAGTGTAAGACAAGACAAAATAATAATAATTTGTAAATTATCAAGGGTTCATGAGGGAGGGAGGAGCGGGGAGGGAGGGGAAAAATTAGGAGATGATACAGAGGACTCAAGCAGAAAGCAAATGTTTTGAGAATGATGATGGCAACAAATGTGTAAATGTACTTGACACAATGGATGGATGGAAGGAATGTGATAAGAGGTGTACGAGCCCCCAATAAAATGATGTTTTTTTTAAAGCAACTTACAAGAAAGTATAACTCTTGAAATGCACCTCTGTTTACACTCTGTCTCCTTTCCAGGTTACTCTGCTTGGTCCATTGGTCTGGTGATGCTGGGGAAATTCGGGATCACCTCGGCTTTCTCCATGCTCTATGTCTTCACCGCAGAGCTCTACCCCACCATGGTCAGGAACATGGCTGTGGGCATCACATCCATGGCCTCCCGAGTGGGCAGCATCATCGCCCCCTACTTCGTTTACCTTGGTGAGATCTGTCTTCCCTCTTTGTTCTTTCCCTAAAGTAGTTTGAAACATAGAAACACCAGGCGTGCATTATGAAAAATCCGAACAGCAGAGAAAGTCGTCGAAAAAGTACAAAAGTTTCCATTTTGGAAAAGAACAAATGCCCTGCCCTCTAGTCAATTCAGGCTCTTAGCGAGCCTCTGGGACAGAGCAGAACAGCCCCGGGGAGGTTCCGAGGCTGTCAATCTCTGGGAGCAGAGAGCCTCCCCTTTCTCCCACGGAGCAGCAGCTGGTGGTTTCAAACTGCCGACGTGGCAGGTAGCAGTCCAGCTCATCACCCCTTAGGCCACCAGCTTTTCACTTCTCTGTTCAGATCTGAGACCAGCTGCCCAGCAGCGGCGCTTCATGCTGCAACCACTCGGAGCTAGGTCAGACACGAAAAATTCAAGGACACAGTCCTGCAGACCGCCAAGTAGGCCGAGATTCCCGACGGTAGCTACAAACCTAGGTGTCTCCATGGCATCTACACTTCAGGTCTTGCTGACGCTAATTCAAGGCTTCCTGCTGCAAGTTCAGAGATCCTTACCATCGCCAACGCTAATGAAAACTGGTCTCTGATGTGCTCAAAGTCATCTTCCAGTGTCTTCTCTGTCGGCATCAGCAGAGCCAGATCACACAGTCAAGCCATGAATGACCCAAAGAGACTCTCAAACAGGAATGTATTCGTGTGACTTTGCTGACTGAACTCGCACCGCAGGCCTAGAAACTCGGTGATGCCCCTTCAGGTGCACCTCAGATGCACTTCTGGTCTGGAGTCTTTGTTTTGGAAAGATTGTGTCTCAGGGATCGAGAACCAAATTCTTTGGCTAAAGTTAATGCACTTCTCTCCCCAGTTCCCCAAGTCACAGTCCCTAGAGGTAACCAATAGTCACTGTTTGGGGAGGAACCCCTCAGACGTTATGTTTTGCACAACTGTGTGTGTGTGTGTGTGTGTGTGTGTGTGTGTATTACACCCAAGAAAAGTATATTACTCACACTCTTTCGTAACTGTTTTGTTGCTGCTTTTGTTCATGTCCCATGGTATCACAATATGTTTCCCAATTTGGTTTATTTAGAGCTTCCATCTTTTATATTAATAGCTCCTTGGTGTTCCAATAAACATGTATGCATGATTTATTCCGTCAGGGTCCCGTGGATGGGCATTTATGCCATCTCCAGGCTTTTGCTATTACAAACAACACTGCAATGAATATTCTCCTACAGTGCTTGTGTGCATGCATTTAGATATATCTTTTCTTTCTTTTTCTCTTTCTTTCTCACCCGGCCTTCTTTTCTTTCTTTCTTTTCTTTTTTTTTTTTTTGTGGACAGGGCACAACAAGGGTCTACTGTGGAGGCAAACTTCCTGAGAGACAACTCGGTTGTGCAGCAAAGGGAGTGAAAATAAAACTCGGGACTCCTGAGCTTAGCTAATAGAGAGAGAAACCAGAGTGTTAAAGAAGGTGCTAGGACGGAGATTAACTCTCAGTGGGTATTGGGGTCACTACCCCCATGGGATTCTCTGGACATGGGAAGTCTGCAAAGCGCTGGTTCGTGTGGCCTCTATTTAAAGTCAAAGCAGCGAAATACCAACCGCGAATATTAGAGCTTCAAGTCTAAAGCCCTTGACTTGTGGAAACCTAGGGTCTACAGGCGAGCCCTGACTCTGCTTTGAGTCTGACCTAAGTTCAGACGACATTGAAGTTCTTGCTATTTCACTAGTAATCGTATCTCTGACAACTCCCAGGCGAGCCCAAGGGGGTCCATTTTGTCCTGGGGTTACACAAAGATCCAGGGGCATGTGCTTAATGATTTCCCCCAAATAGCAGGCTGTTGCCTGATTTAAAAGTTGGCACCCTGGGGTCTATGACTTATGACCATATGGTCAGTAGTTATACCCTGACTACACTACATAGCCAAGAGGTGAAGTCCCAGAACCACTGTGGATGGCGTTTTAAACCCCTTTTATTGTGAATTGGGTGAAGGTTTATGGAGTTCACCAGTTTTACATTCAATGACTCATACACTTTCTGTTTCATCTGGTTCTCTACAATCCCTCCAATGTAACCGCCTTCATCCTACTTCCTCCCTGTGTTCCTGAAGTCCTTCCTCCTCCTTTCCTGACCCTTCTGAACGTTGTCCTTGGGCAAATGCCATCTCCTTGATCCCAGGAGCCTTGGTGGCATAGTGGTTATGGGCTGCTAACCACAAGGTCAGCAGTTTGAAACCAACAGCTGTTCCATGGGGAAAAGACAGGGTTTTCTACTCCCGTAAAAAGTTACAGTCTCAGAAGCCCACAGGGGCAGTTCTACTGTCCGATAGGATCACTAGAAGTCAGCAAAGATGCAATGAGTTAAGTTCGAGTTTGATTCCAAAAGGTCAATTGCTCTAAAGTGTGCACACACCAGTAGTACTACTATTCCCCTTATAGACCTGCCTGCTGTTTGGATGAAAATTGAGCTACAGGTATGAGTTCAGGTAAAGATCTGGAGGGTGAACAAGGACCATAGTCTTGGGCTTTCTATCCAGCCAGCAAGTCTGGTTTCTTTTATTATTTTGAGTTCTGATCCACATTTTCTTCCACTCTATCCAAGACAGACCTTATAATGTGATCATTTTCAGAGCAGTTGGTAGTGGTAGCTGGGTACCATCTGGTTCTGTTTTCAAAGTTGTAGAAACTGATGATGTATGGCCCATTAATCCAATGGACTAAATGTTTCTATGTGTGGTCAATTCCCATCACTCTTCTTTCCTCTGGCCAGGAAGAGACCAATAGTTGTACCTTAGATGGATGCTCATGAGCTTTTGAGACCAGCCACTTATGCCAAAGCGAAATATAGACTATGTGGACTATGTTATTCAACTCACCTTGGTGTGCCCCCAGACTATGGTTCTGAGCCTCCACCCTGACATTCATTCCCCTATGGTGCCTGGTTATGTCCAAGAAGGTTTGAAACCTTTACTACCACTTCCATCACTAATCTACTCATCTGTCAATTTGATGTAGTGGTGGCTTGTGTGCTGCTGTGATGCTGGAAACGATGTCACCAGAATTTCAAATACCAGCAGGGCCACCCAAAGTGAACATGTTTCAGCTGAGCTTCTATCCTGAGAGCAGAACAGGAAGGATAGGCTGTCCACTTCTGAGGGAGTACACACTCAACGCCTTGTGAATGGCAGCAGGACGCTGTCCAAGACAATGCCAGGAGATGAGCTCTTCAGGTTGGAAGGCACTCAAAATAAGACGGGGAAGCGCTGCTTCTTCCCAGTAGAATGGGCCTTATGGACTTGGATGGAGTACAACATTTGAGACCTTCATTTGCTGATGGGTCATGACTCAAAATGAGAAGAAACAGCTGTAACAGCCCTTTAATCATGGGAACATGGACCATGTGACGTCCAAATTTTGGAAAATTGGAATGTGTAAAAAATCAAATGGAATGCATAAAGAGTGATATCCTAGGCATTGGTGATATGGACGGGTATTGGCCATTTTGAGTTCAGTAATCACATGGTTTACTGTGCCAAGAATGACAATTTCTTTTTTTTTTTTTTTTGAATGACAATTTCAAGAGGAATTTTCTTGAAGTGCAATGTTGTCTGTGACAGGATCATATCGATCTGCATTTCAGGAAGTCCAGTTAATGCAAATGTTATTCAAATGTATGCACCAGCCACTAAAGGTAGTGATGAATTGAAGACTTTTACCACCTTCTTCCATCGAATCGTGATCAAACAGGCAATCAGGATGCATGGATGATTATTGCTGGTTGGACTGTGGAAGCTGGAGAGAAATGGGAAACACCAGTCACTGGAAAATACGGCCTTGGTGAGAGACAAGAAGCTGGCGATCATGTGATAGAATTTTCCAAGACCAACACCATCCTTATTGAAAATACCTTTTCTTCAACAACATAAATGACTACTGTACACATGTGCACCAAATGGAACACAAAGGAATCAATTTGATGTGAGAAGAGACAAGAGAACCTCAATATCACCAGCCAAAACAGGACCAGCTGCCGACTGTGGAACAGACCATCAATGCTCATATGCTAGTTCATATTGAAAGTGAAGCAAATGAAAACAAGTCCACAGAGCCAAAATGCAGCTTTGAAGATATCCCACCTGAATTTAGAGACCACTCAAAACCAGATTTGACTCATTGACCACTACGGACCGAAGACCCGGTGCGTTCTGGAATAACATCCAGAGCATCGCACGTGAACAAAACAAAGGATCTGTGAAAAGACAGGACAGAAAGAAAAGGCCCATAATGGATGTCAGAAGAGTCTCGCAAACGTGCGATTGAATGCAGACTAGCTAAAGGGAATGGCAGAAATGATGAAGTAAAAGAGCTGAATGGAAAACCTCCAAGGGCAGCTCGAGAAGACTCATAGAGTATTATAATGAAATTTACCAAGACCTGGAGTTCCACTACCCAAAAGGAAGAACACATTCAGCTTATTTCAAGCTGAAAGAACTGATGGCCTATTTCAAGCCTCAAGGTGTACTTTTTTGCATATTGAAAGATTCAGGCAAAATATTTAATGATACAAACGTATCGAAACATGATGGAAGGAATTACACAGTTTTATGTATCATAAAGAACTGGTGGACATTCAGCCATTTCAGTAGGTGGAATCTGATCAAGAACCAATGACATTGAAGGAAGAAACTCAAGCTGCATGAAGGCATTGCTCCAAAGCAAGGAGCCAGCTAAACTGTTTCAACCACGTCAAGAAATTTGGAAGACGGCTCCCTGTCCAGCCAACTGTAGGAGATCCATATTTGTGCACATTCCAAAGAAAGGTGACCCAACAGAATGCAGAAATTATGAATTAATGTCAATATGACACTCAAGTAAACTTTTGATGAAGATAATTCAACAACGGTTGCCATAGTATATCAACAGGGAGCTACCAGAAATTCAAGCCAGATTCAGAAAAGGAAGTGGCATGAGGGATATCATTGTTAATGTCAAATGGGTCTTGGCTGAAAGCAGAGAATACCAGAAAGATGTTTACTTGTGCTTTATTGACTATGCAAAGACATTTGACTATGTGGACCACAACAAACTATGGATGGCCTTGTGAAGAATGGGAATTCCAGAACACATCATTGTGCTTATGCGGAATTTGTACGTGGACTAAGAGATAATTGTGCAAAGAGAATTGTGCAAAGAGGGAATACTGCATGGTTTAAAATTAACAAAAGTCTCTCCATCCTTGTCTCTAAGAAGGATCCTGGTTGTACTTCTTCTAAGACAGATTCATTTGTTCTTTTGGTAGTCTGCTCCTGAGATGGTCCATTATTATACAGGGTGATGTCACGTCCCCTTTGTTTTTCCCTATGCTTTCAAACATGCTCAGCTGGCTCACTGGTAGACCAGAAGAGATGAAATCCAAGGTAGAGCATTCTACGCCATGATAGTTAATCCTGTTAGTTACACAGACGTATCAGAGAAGCTTCAGGTTCAAAGTTTTAATTTCTGGTTTAGGTCAGATTAACTTCATGGGTGTCTTGCTCCTCCGTAATCTCTGTGTGCAGGTGGGAAGGAAGGAAGACGAGGCCTATCCTGCTCCCATTGCAGTCCCCCAGATAAAGGAGAGCGGGGAGGGGCGGAGGGTGTTCTTCTAATACATCTAAAGCCAGACTAGTAAATGCTCTCTTCCTATATCAGTATTACTTGATTACATCTTAACGTTAAAAACAAGTCCAGGCACAGTGCTTTCACGGAATGTGTGCCCGACGTATATTGAATTCAATTGAATTGAAAATATAACGTAGTTTAACATTTTCTTTCAGAGGCTCCTGACTCTGTGAGCCCCTGATGCCCACTAGTGTCAAAAAAACAATAGCAAAGACCTTTTTTGTGACTAGCATCTGTCCTTGCAACAACTTGGTCATCCTCTTTCCTGCTGCGATTCCTCACCCCACCCCCATCTCCAACAACCCCACCTTATGAGGGGAACTTGGGTAAGCAAAGATTTCCATGGAAGGCACATCTGTCACACATGATTAAGTATAGCTTACAGAGGACCATCTGACAGGGCAGCACTTAAAATAATACAAAATCAAGCAGGTAAATGATTGTAGAAATGTAGTCAATGGCATTTGCCAAGAAGTTTGGTTACATTTTGCCTCCTGACAATGTTCAGACTTATAACTGTTCTCAAATACTACTTGAAACTTGACTCACAAGCGCTTCCTGGGGGTCCCCGTTTTGTGTTCATGCTCCAATTGGCATTCGTGCATCCCGTGTTTTACAGGTGCTTATAATAGAATTCTGCCCTACATCCTCATGGGTAGTCTGACGATCCTGATCGGAATCCTGACTCTTTTTTTCCCTGAGAGCTTTGGGACACCTCTCCCAGAGACCTTTGAGCAGATGCAGAAAGTGAAAGGGTAAGTCGAACTTGAAAACAGTTAATACCAAGATGCCCCAGCAAAGAGTAAATGCAGGAGAAGAGCGAAGGAGATTCACCAAAAGGAGAGTATTAAGTCGAAACCAACTCCCCAGGAAACAAAGCACATTTTAACTGCATGTCATTACAACTCTCTTGTGGTGTGACAGTGTGGAATAGGGCTCAGAAATAAGCCCAGGAGGTGTGAGCGTTCGCAGATGATGAAAATAGCAATTTGGAACCGGTGAGGGGAAAAGTAAATTATTCAATAAAGGCATTAGAACATTCCACTGTCCATCTTGGGAGAGAGGGGGAAAAGTTCAATTCTACTTCAAAGTACGTTAAGATCAATTACAAAGAGATATTAAAATCGGCCCCCAAAATAAAATCATAAATGTACCAGAAGAAAATAAATGTTTTTTATAATCTCAAAGAAGACTTTCCTGGGCATGAAAGAACAAACACAGAACAGAAAAGGAGATGTGTCTGATAGCATAATTTTAAAATTTTTGGTATCGTAAAAATGAAACCATAAATAAAGACAAAAGTCAACAAGCCAGGGGAACTATTTGCAACTTGGGGTGGCCAAATTCAGGGCTAATAGTATACAAAAGCTCAATGAGAAGAAGGCAAAGAACTAAAAGGGAGGAAATGGCAAAGGACAGGCAGTTTAGAGAATAAATGTAAGTGGCCAATAGGCATCTGGAATGGGAGGGAAAAACAAATTTGTCTACTTAATGGAAAAGCGAAGCAATTTGATGTCTTATTTATTTATCTAGGCCTACGAGATTGGTAAATCTTTAAGAGATTAGTGGGTTTGGTAGAACTTCAGGTTCTAGAGTGAAACTGCCTACTTTCAAAGCCCTAGCCCACTGTGTAGACTTGGAAAAATAACTTAAATTGGTCTAAACCTTAATATTCCCTTGCTACATGGGGCTATCTCATAGGACTATTGTCAGTTTCCATAAAGCAACGTGTTTCTAGTCCCCGGCTATGATAAAGGTTGGTCTATAGCTGAACAGATTCTGATGGCTGACAACATATATAGTGTAGGATAAGGAACCCAATTTTGATCAGTTGTTTTCTTTTAATTATATGACGGCTTCATTATCAACCTTAATTTGCTAAGAATTCCATGCTTATCTTTCCATCCTTTCTCATGGGAAAATGTGAAAGGTCTTGTTTATGTTTCACTTTTAAAGGGCCCCAAAGTTCTGAAACATAAAGTGTTCATGGGGGGGATGGAGTGCTGCAAAAAAAACCCATGGGAAATTCCCATTATCCTTGAATTCCCTTTTTCCACAGACCTTTTGAAGCTTCCTTGTATTTGTGCTAGACTCAGGAGGTTCTTGTTAGAATTAAGGTCGCTACTTGTTCATCGACTGGAGAGAAGTTGTTCAGGGTCAGCTTGGCATTTCGAGAACCAACCTTGAATATCCCATTTTCTGTAGCAGCTCTTTTATTTTCAGGTTCAGATCCAGGAAAGAAACAACAGAGCCCATGGAGAGAGAGGAAAATCCCAAGGTTCTGATTACTGCATTCTAATACGATGTTGACCCCACCTGCTGAACTGGAACAGAGACAGCCAAGAAACGAACGTTCTTCTGCTAATGGAGGCATGGCAGTGACTAGCACTAACAGGACCTTACCACTGAGACACGGCGTCGCATTGGAAACACTAGACCACCGTTCCTGATCATTCTCTTACTTTTAAAAAGAAGCCATTTCTAGAGAATAGGAACCATTTCTTCACGAATTTGACAGAATGGGTTGGAAGCCTCTTATTTATTATTTCATTTTTTTGGAAATGGCTTAGTCAAGAACTGGTTAAAAAAATCCACATAAAGATGAACACTTGTTTCCAAACACAAATACTATTTAAATAATGTTATTATACTAACGCAGCTATTAGGTGACAGCAGTATACGCTTGTGTGTTTGTGGAAGTGAAGCAGTATATTCAAAAGTATAATTGCTTTTGAAGGGAAGGCTTACGGACTACCAAAGCCAAATGATTATACTCACTATTCCTACAAAGAAAGCTTTATACACTCCGTTGAGAGGGATTGATGGCTCATAATCAAACCGTGTTTTCCATGTGACGTGCAGCAAGAGATCAAGTTACCGGGCCGTGGGACCAGCAGCCTTCACGGGGAGAGAGAGGAAGGCTACAATTTCAACAGCTGTTCCTCACAACCATCTAATGGTCCACATCTGCATTGCTCCTTACGATTGCGCAACGGACCCCTCCCTTTCACAAGACTGGCCTAAGAAATATTTTGCTGGTAAATGGAGAATCGGGAAAACCACACCAACCAGTTGGATTAAGGGAGAGATAGTTTGTGTGCGCCGCAGCCAAGAGGGGCCAGCACCGAGGAAGAAGACAATCACCGCCAACCATCTGGAAAGCCTATGAAGACACAGGTTTTGCCTTGAATACACACCTTTCTAAGCACAGTATTCACCTGTCGCCTCTCCCGCCGCCAGGTGTGCACCAGTCCCACAAACAAGCAGTGTCGAAGGTAAAAACCACGGGTGGGATAACATACGACGGGCTCCAAAAATGTTCCTGGGCAAATGGACTTTTTCCAGGCATCTTCTCAAGGCTCCCGATAGTACCATAAGCGCAGACTCTATCAGCGCTCCAGCTCAGAGCTGACAGCAAGCAGGATCTGCTCCTCGAGCCTGGGGGTGGCAGGTGGCAGGGCCAGGGGCTTCCCTGGGAGCAGCACTATAACCAGCTACGGACCCCTTCACCCACGGGGAGAAACAGGCAGTCACTGGGTGGTGGGGTTATCTTAATGCTGCCTGGTGGCTCCGTCTCCCAAGATGCGTGATCTCCCAAAGCAAATTTCCTGGTGTACCATCTTGATGGCCTGCTCTCACCCGTCCACCGCCCTTCAATGGAACATTTCTGATGAGCTCCGTATTTTTCTCAGTATCGTTCCATTGGTAGCACACATTTTCTCATCTGAAGCACTGACAAAGGATCCTACTTTGTGATTGCAACTGTACAACCCACTAGAGTATCGCAGGATCGTTTCTACATTCTCGTCGAAGAGGAAGGTATGTAGCCTTAGAACCTTCCTCGCCGGCCCCCCACCCCACAACTGAAGCCCGCCTGCATCTGCTGCCCTGCCCTCCCCTTCCCCATCCCACCTGGCACTGGTCACGCTGCCTCCAG